TAGACTTATTTTCTTGCCAAACTTTACCATAAGTTTGGCTTCGTTTTTGCTCACCCCACTTTCTCGGTTTGCCAAAAGTTAGATGTGGCAAGTTGGGGCATGAACCAAACAGGCCATATACATTGCTCTGGACGATCAACAGCTCTTGCATGCAATGCAACACAATATTTTGTATCATGATTTCCATGAACCTTCATTCCAAGTATGAAACATACAAGGTTACAGGGTGACTTCGTGAACAAAACCCTTTCCCTAAACAGGGCAAGGGGAAACTAGCACATTTATTCCAGCCGAGCAGCAAACAGTATGCCTCAGATTTGGGATCTTACTTTAATTCGAAATATCTCTATAACTAGCATAGAGATAGCACAAGTTCATAGCATCAGAACCAGTAATCTCAGGTGGGGGAAATATCGCCATCCATCCGAGGTAAGACGGACAACAGATGAGTAACACTTAGACCACTGGAAGCTCCCCACACTCGCTGATGACTACTTTCTTCTTCGGGCGGTCACCTCTGTCAGTCTCCTGTGACTCGATCAACTTTACGATGTCCATCCCTTCCAGGACCTGGCCAAACACGACATGCCTTCCGTCCAACCAAGGTGTCTGCATCCAAGGCACCAGTCATACAAGTTCCGGGTTAGTTTTGGAGCTAGTACATGAGAGAATGTGGTTGAAACATAAATTGTCTAAGTAGCAGAGGCACCAAAAAGGTCCATTTTTCTGGTAGTTAAACAAGGTATACAAGATTACCTTGACAGTGCAAATGAAAAACTGGCTGCCGTTGGTGTTCGGTCCTGCATTAGCCATGCTGAGCACTCCAGGTCCAGTGTGAACCACTAAAACACGAAAACAGCATGCCATCAGGATTAGCATGGAACTAGAAACCATCACTACTGTTTCAGATGTAGAGCATACATTTAAAGTTCTCATCTTTGAAGGTGCGTCCATATATGCTTTTCCCACCAGTACCCTGCAAATGTAACTTCTAGTTAATCACATGCAAAACTTTAAAGCTGCATCTTCCAATTCAGTTTCTCTTTGTTCAACTGTTCAAGCACAAAACCAATCTTTTATGTAGTCTTTTAAAAACCAATCTGCTAGACTGTGCACAAAGAATTCAGTGTCCCAAGTCCCAATCTTATACTGCCAGTTGGGCCTCATAAAGTCACACATGGAAAATGTGTGCATAAGTTTGGAAAACAAGACTAGATGCCGATCACTTCTAATTTCATGAATTAAGATACTAATTGCAAAATGCATGTATGTATATATAAAGACAAATAGATCATGGATATAATGTACTATGACAAGATTTTAGCAGCGTCACAAAGGTTACTGTATGACACAAAGCTAGTAGACTATCAAGAGACCTATGTAGGAGTAGGACAATTCCTCTTTTTGTTCACCAATTAAATGTCTGGCATAAACCACTCTGAACTTCTGTAAATTCAATTCACTAATCCCAAAACGAGAAAATATTTAGCAGAATAATCAACAAGATAAAACAGATACACTTGTAGAACGAAAAGTAAGTTAAAAAAAACCATCCAGTCTTTTGATAAAACATATCAGCACATCAGCATGCAGATATATTCTTTAATTTCTCTAAACTGAATATGCACAGTGGAAAAAATATATCCAAGTGCAGTACAACAGAGTTTAGTGATAGCAGGTGAACACATACGTTGCCCTTGTCAAAATCTCCGCCCTGAATCATGAAGTCGCTGATGACACGGTGGAAACTGGATCCCTTGTATCCAAACCCTTTCTCTCCTGCAAAAGGTGGACCTTGTTATGTTTCTCTTCTGGGCAAGGCAATACTCAAACTAATAAGATTGCACAACAAGCAAGATGGTAGTCCTATCCCTCGTACCAGTGCAAAGAGCACGGAAGTTCTCTGCTGTTTGTGGAACATCATCCCCATACAGACCGATGACAATCCTCCCAACATTCTTTCCCACAGGGTTCCCAATGCTTATGTCAAAGTACACCTTGTTTGTGATTTTAGACTGAAGGTCTGCTTCCTGCAAAAGGCACAAGAGAATCCTGCCATACATTACAGACTGAGGTGACATAGGTAGGAGTATTTTGCATATATTAACTGAATGCAACCACAAAATTGCCTAACCCAGTAACCCACAGTTTCAGTTAAATATAATTGAACATCTGCATCCTCGCACAAGCGATGGCTAATGTGGGTATAATGCAGACAGATACAGGTCCCTGAAACATTGAGTGTCCCATGGCCTCCTAGTGTCTGAAGAGTCAAATCGTTTTATCATAACAAATCATTGATGATGTGCTGCAATTAGAACTTGTGTCCCCAGAAATTTTAGTGGTGACTCAAATTTAGCATGCCCATTGAACTAAAGGAGTAGCAAGTCCAATTTAATAAAGTGGATAGCAGGAAGGTTGACATCTAAGGCAGATGGAATGTCCAAAAGCTGTCTAAGTTGCCAGGATTACAAATTAGCCTCCTTATTGAAGGATGATAATCTCCCTCCCCTGTAAAATAGAATAGTAGAATGGAAAAAAGATGCAAACTTTACCGCAGGCCCGGTATCCACTTCAGCCGCTATAGATAGATGGAGTAGATTAATTAAACAAGAGAGAGAAGGAACCCAGCAGCGTAAGCGTAAAGATGGTACCTTGGGCTCGGCGCTGGCGGATGTGGCGAAGCGCGCGCGGCTGTGGGAGGGCGACGCCGCGAGGCCCCCGGAGAAGGAGACGGCCTGCGAGGGGAGGCCGGCGCTGCGGAGGGAGAGGAGCGGCGAGGGGGCGGCCTTGGAGGCGAGGAGGGACCGTTGCCCCGCCGAGCGCGCGACGGCCTGCAAGCAACACGAGAGGGTCCGTCAGGCGATTGAAGGGTTGGGAGATGGTGGGCAAAGAGGAGGTGGGGGGGGGGGGGGGCGCTCGGCTTACGAGGGTGGCGAAGGAGGTGGCCGCCGCCGCCATTGCAGGGGATGGGGATGGAGAGGAGGAGGTTTTAGGAGGAGGAGGAGATGGTTGCTGGAGAATGGGTTGGGGTGGGGAAGACTCTCCACTCCACGACGGATAGATAAGAAAGGCCAAACGGAGAGATAGCCAAAATTCTCTTACATATGAACCCCCCATGTATCATGGAAATTATGTTTGGATCCTTGGGTGTACCTGAACTGAACTGAACTGAATGGTAGCAAGAGTTTGTGGTGCTTGCAATGATGTGAGCTTGTGTGTAGTTTATTTTCGGATCACACGGCCCAGCCATTCTGCCGGATCCAAAAGAATCCTTTCGACATTCTTTCTTTCAACCTAGCCAAAAGAATCATTCTTGACCAATTAGATATTAGCCTCGTTCGTTGTTCTGAAACTTAACTGAAATTGACTGATTGGTGTGAGAGAGAAATACTGTAGCGGCTGAAACTTATGAGGAGAAGCAGCCAGCTGGTCTGGTAAACCAGACCAGCGAACGCAGCCATTTGGTGCAAGATACTATATTGACACATAGTACCCTGTGTTCTAAATTATTTTGGTTTTTTAAGATTTATAGCTTTTGCTATGCGCTAAAACCAAAACGTCCAATAATTTGGAACAGAAGGAGTAGTGCATATAGAGAGAAAAACTCAATCTCAATTATCACGTCCTATTTGAACACCTAACTAAGGAGTGAGAATTCTATCGTCCTCTTATTCTCTGTCTATTTTAAAATGCACTAAATCCTATTGGGCTTAAATCAGACTAGGAGGAAAAATATGACGACTTGTTTGTTCCGTAGCCCTTACTACAAATATGGAAAAAAAATCTTGAACACCCAAAAAAAAACTACACACATTATATTAAGATAGAAGCTGAATTCACGGCATGGGTTAGTTCTTTTTACACATACGCACCCTTTAAAGATCTAATAGCCATACCCAAAAAACTAATTAGCCCAAATCCTCTCCTAGAGCCTTATTAGCTCCGACCATCACCCAGAGCACTGCACTGCTTGCTCAACAATCTCCTGCAGCACGCATCACACAAACATCTATTGTTCTGTTGTACAACCCTCAAACACGTAGCGGTTCCGATGCTTCCAAATTGTCCAAGTGGTTAAGATCACCAGTGAGTTGACACCTTTGCATTTGAACCTGCATTTGTTTAGACCATGATGAACACATGACTTAATTAAACTGTTGGTTTGCAGAGATTTGCTGGGAAATATGGTGTCAGACAGTAGTTTTGTTTGTTGGTGTGTTTGTGTAACTTGATTGCCAGATGCCAGGTCATCACAAACAAGTGCTACAAAAGGAAGCAAGAAGAAGCGCTAGCTGAATAGATCCGTTGATCTACCACCAATTTTGCATTAGTTGGTTTTCATCCAAGAAACTTTACAAATTTTAATATGTCGGTTCCCATGTAGCAGTGTAGGGTGTGTTTAGTTGGTTTCCTAGCAAAACTACGGCCTGATTGGCTGGGAGCGGCTGGCTGGCTAGCCCTCTCACATAAACACTGTTCACGCGAACCAGCCAGCAGTACTTTTCTCTCACATAAACAAACCAGCAATGATAAAAACCAGCCAACCGAACAGGCTCAAGACAGGCCGACTCTAGCCAGCTTTAGCCAATGCAAGTAGCACATGTTTGGTTGTTTGTACTGGCTAAACCTGGTTAGGAATCGGTGTATTTGGTTGGCATGGAATCACCTCTTCCTTCAACCGGTAATTTTACCCCCTTTAAGACTTTAGTCGAACAGGTGGTGGGCAGCGGTGGGTACTGCGAGCACCTTGGCCGGCGAGCATGGCAGCGAGGAGGAGCAGGCCTTGCCGGCCGGTGGGGTGGAGGAGGAGGAGCGGCACCTCCACGGCCATCTCCCCTCCGCAGGACGGGCACCTCGCGCCACTCCTCCTGCCGTGCGGCGGGCCGCGGGAGATGTTGTCGATGGGGCTTCAGATGATGGGGGAACAGAGAAAGCACGCACATCTTCCTGCGGGTGACGCGGTCGAGGTAGCCGAGTGCGTCGTCGTCGCCGGGGAACTAGCTGTGGATGGTGGAGGAGACGTTGACGATGCGGCCCTCGACGCCGGTGTCCCTCGCCGTCTCGGCCATCTTGTCCAGCAGCAGCCGGGTGAGCAGGAAGTGGCCTAGGTAGTTTGTGGCGAAGGTCATCTCCACGCCGAGGTCGAGGAACCGCTTGACGAAGCGGCGCACGGAGGCGAGCAAGCTGAGGTCGAGCGGCAGCACGGCGACGTCGGCTCCCGGGCACTCGGCGCGGACCCGCGCGCGGACCTCCGCAACGAATCCTGCCTTCGAGGAGGAGGAGGAGGAGGAGGGGATGCAGGCTCGCCGGCCGGTGGGGTGGAGGAGCAGGCTCGCCGGGCGGCCGGTGGCGTGGAGGACGAGCGCTGAGGGGGCGGGGCGGCGCGGAGGTGCGTGCGAGGCCCGGGTACGGGAGGTGAGCGGTGTCGGGTGGGAGCTAGACGGAGCCAGGCTTGATAGAAGGGGGATTCACAGGAGGCTTTTACGTGTGCGTCATTAAAAAAATTCATAATTACACATAAGTTATTAAAAAATTGACCACAGACGAGTGTCATCGTTTTGAACTTCTTTATTTTCTAAGCCATTCCGTCGGCGTTCTATTCGTTTTTCACCGTTACATGTGGGCCCGGTCAGTATAAAGGTCCAAAATACCCTTCTCTCGTCCCTTCTTTAGTCCACACCGCTCGCGCTCGCGTCCGTGCTCGGCGGAGCTCGCGCTCGTGCTTGCAGCCGGCAGAGCCCCGCTCGGCGGAGCTTGCGCCTGCGCTCGCGTCCGCGGCCGGCGGAGCTCGCACTCGAGCTCGCGGCCGCCATCCCCTCCGTCAGCGGCGGCAGCGTCCACGCCCGGCCTCGTGCTCGCGCTCGCGGCCGCCATCCCTCCGGCAGCGGCGTCCTCGTCCACGCCCGGCTTCCCCTCGCGCTCGAGCTCGCGGCCGCCATCTCCTCCGTCAACGCTCGTGCTCGCGGCCGTGGACGTGCCCGCCGCCGCTCCGCGCCGGGGCGAGGTGTAGGCGCACCTCCCGCGCCGCCGCGGCCAAGAAGGAGATGGCGGTGCTGCTGATGGTGGCCGCGCGCGCGTAGGCGGTGCTGCTGATGGAGGCCGCGCGCGCGTAAGCGGTGGACTCCCGCCCCACGAGCTCGAGGTCAGAGCGGTAGACGGCGCTGGTGACGTAGTCCCGCACGTGCTGCGCGCACTCTGGCGGCAACGCCTTCCACGGCGCGAGGTTGTTGGCCTCCGCCGCTAGCCGCCAGCTGGCGCAGCGCACGTCCGTCGGCACGTCGTCAACGTCGGCATCGGGATCGGGCTCCTCCGCGGCCCGCGCTGACGGGAGCTCGATGACGAGCGGCCGTGGCAGGAGGTGCTGTTGCGCGTCCGCGTCCGGCTCCACCGCCGCCGCCTCGGACACGCCCTGCGCTGGCGCCGCCGGCGTGAGGTCCGCCTCTACCTCGGAAGCTCCTGCGGCGAGAGACGTGGCGAGCAGGACGAAGAGGAGGAGCGTGGCGAGCTGGTGGGCGAGGCCGCCGCGCGCCATGTCCCGGCTTGCTGTCACCGCGTGGGGGTGGGTCATCGTGGGGGCCTCGGCGTCGGGGAGCAGGCAGGCAGGCGCGGGGGTGGGAAGGCGTGCGGCGGGGGGCGACGCGGTCTTTAAATAGGTGGGGGATGTGGATGTGGGGCCGGCCGCGTGATGACAGCGAAGGAAGCGTGAGGCTTTATACTGATAGGGATGAGAGGGGTATTTTGGACCTTTATACTGACCGGGCCCACATGTAACGGTGAAAAACGAACAGAACACCGACGGAATGGCTTGGAGAGCAAAGAAGTTCAGAACGATGGCACTCGTGTGCGGTCAATTTTTTTAATGGCTTGTGTGTAATTACAAATTTTTTTAATGACATACATGTAAAAGCCTCAATTCCTAATGTGCCATTAAAAAAGATTGTGATACTCTATGAGTCTCTAAAAAAGTTCAGTGGTCTTCAGCGCCACTGCTCTAATTTTTTTGTGCCCTCCATGCCACTATCGTCAGTATGGGCTCTAACATCATCAAACTGCAGGTGTGAAAAGTCGAAAATACCCTTAAGTCTAAACATGTCATTAAATTTTTTAGCATCTTAACGACTTCAAATGAAAAAACTCAAAACTAAAAAGTTGTAGATCTTGTCGAGATCTATAATTTTCATATAAAAATTATCTTTATTTAATTTCGCAAAAAATATATGATTTTTCTAAGATATATTAATCATATCAAATCATATTTTTTTGCGGAATTAAATGAAAATAATTTTTATATAAAAATTATAGATCTCGACGAGATCTATAACTTTCTAGTTTTGAGTTTTTTTCATTTGAAGTCGTTAAGATGCTCAAAAAAAATTAATGATATATTTAGACTTAAGGGTATTTTTGACTTTTCACACCTGCAGTTTGACGGCGTTAGAGCCCAGACTGACGGCAGTGGCATGGTGGCCGCTGAACTTTTTCAGAGACTTATAGGGCATTGCGATCTTTTTTAATGGCACACAGGGAATTCCCCCTTGATAGAACGAGGGGATCGGTCGTTTCCAGCAACCGAATCACAGTTTGGGCTTGTGCAAGCCTGGCTAACAGGCCTTACAAAAAAATCAAATAGGTCTAAGTTGCATTATACAAGCTTGGCTAGAGGCTAAGCGAGAGAACCAAACACATCTGTAATGAAGTAGCCAATGCCGGACTAGAATGTGGCTGGTTTTGGCTCAAGCATCTGTCTCAGGTGAAGTCTGAGTTGTGTGTATAACTTTCAGTATTCATTTGAGCAATGAATATTTGTGCTTGCTTAAGCAGACGTTAATATAGTTTTGTTTTCTCCCCTAGCTCCTTTATGGATTGTACCATTGGCTTTCCAGATATGTTTGCTAGAAATGTTACAGGATCAATAGTCATAGATCTAACATACCTACTTATATTTGATGAAGTGTAAACCTTAGAACATGTACTAGTACGGAATTAACAGAGAGAGTGGGATGCGGGTAGCAAACCATCGACCACCTTCGCAGAAGACGAGCTGGTCATCGCAGTGCTAAGTGGAGACTCGGTGGAGGCGCGGCGGTGAAAGGCGGCGGTGCAGTGGCGGTGCTTCCCGTCGCTGGCAATGCTCCCTCACTTAGATCGATTAGGATTTAGGGAATGTAGGTGGGGTGTCTAGCGGCTCAGGTGAACCTCGTGCCTTGTGCCTCGGCCCCCACCTCCCCTTTTATGACGTTGTGCGACGGGGGCACACCAACCATAGAACAGTTGGGCGCCCCTGATCAGGGCGCGGATCCAAGGGCCTAATTGACCATTGGGCCAATTGGTTGGAGATCAGCTAACATTCTCCCCCTTGATCTCACCTTATGACTTAAACTCAACTTACTTACTTTATCTTATTCCCAGTCCATCATATATCAGTGTATAGAGCGTGCCTCATCGTCACGGTCAGTTGCCATTAGATTAAACAGCTACAATGCACCTCTCTGTTTTGAAATATATTCTCAACTAGACCCTTATTGTCCAGGAATTATAGGCTTTCCTTTAAACCCATACCGGCTAAGTGTTCTCTGAACACGCTGGGTGGTAAGTCTTTTGTAAGCGGATCCACGAGCATCTTTTCTGTTCTTATATGTTCAAGACTAATTATATGATTCCGGACTTTGTCTTTCAAAACATAATACTTTATGTCAATGTGTTTGGCAGCATCACTTGACTTATTGTTGTAAGCATACATACTGTTGGATTATTATCGTAGTATAACTTAAGTGGTTTATGTATGTCGTCTACCACCTTCAAACCGGGCATGAATTTCTTCACCAATTCACCTGCCCTATGGCCTCATAACATGCTACAAACTCGACATACATTGTGGACGATGTAGTAACGGCTTGCTTTGAGCTTTTCCACAATATAGCTTCTCCTGCGAGAGTGAATATGTATCCTGACGTGAACTTTCTGTCATCTTCCGCATAATCAGAATATGTATATCCCTCTATATGCAGGGAATCAGATCTTCTATACGTTAACATGAGACCATTCGTACCTTGCAGGTAACGCAAAACTTTCTTTACTAATTTCTAGTGTTCTATTCCTGGATTACTCTAATATCTGCAAAGTAACCCGGTAACAAATGCTAAGTCAGTGCGAGTACACATTTGAGCATACTGTAAACTTCCGACAGCTGAACTATATTTAACCGCTTTCATTTCATTGATCTCATATTGGTTCCTAAGACATTGAAATTCCTCATATCTGTCGCCCTTAACTATGGGAGCAGGTGAAGGCTTATAATTTTGCATACTGTATTTCTTTAGAACTTTTTCTAAGTATGCCTTTTGTGATAATCCTAAAATCCCATTTTCTCTATCTCGGTGAATCTCTATTCCTACGACGAACGAAGCTTCACTAAGATCTTTCGTATCAAACTTTTGAGGACAAGAACTTCTTTGTTTCTATTAGTAGATTAACATCACTGCTAGCGAGCAAGATGTCATCCACATACAAGACTAGGAAAATGTATTTCTCATTTTTGAACTTTGCGTAAACGCAATTGTCCTCTATATTTTCTTGAAACCTAAACTTTCTTATTATACTATCAAACTTCAAATATCACTATCTTGAAGATTATTTTAATCCGTAAATGGATTTCTTCAAGCGGCATCCCATACGTTCTTTTTTTCCACAACAAAACCTTTCGGTTGTGCCATGTAAACATTTTTCTTCAGATCCCCATTTAGGAACGCTGTCTTTACATCCATCTGATGTAATTCTAAGTCGTAATATGCTACAAGCGCCACTATAATTCTAAAAGAATCCTTATATGAGACTGAAGAAAATGTTTCATTGTAATCTATGCCTTCTCTTTGCGTGAAACCTTTCGCCACAAGTCACGCTTTTAACCTTTCTATATTCCCTTTGGAGTCATGTTTAATTTTGTAGACCCATTTACAGCCTACCATCTTGGCTCCTTTAGGAATTGTTTCTAAGTTCAAACACCGTTGGATTTCATTAATTTTATTTCATCTTCCATGGCTTCAAGCCACTTGGATAAGTGAGCGCTTCTCATGGCTTCTTCAAATGAGGTGGGATCACCCTCCATTTGAAATTCCTTACATTCATAAACTTCATAATCATCAAGAATGGTTGATCTCCTGACTCTTTGAGACCTTCTAGGGGCCTCAATAGATGATGCTTATTCTATATGAGGCTGTTGTTGCTCTCCTAAAAGGTCCTTGTTGGTTTTGGTAATTGAGTGACAACCTAGGTGGACTAATTGTGTTTATGTGAGATACACAGGTGATTAGTCCACAGGTACATGTGTATGAGCAACATATGCCATGGAGGTGAAAATGGCTTAGAGATGTTGCAAAGCTCACACATGTGATGATGAAGGAGCTTATTGCACATGAGACATGACATTGAGTCATGTGATCAAGGTGGAGAAGATCAAGACAAGACTTGGCTTGATGGACCGGTTGCAAGCGTGAAGGGCAAGTCGAAGGCTTTGGAGTGATGGACCGCGTGGCGGTGAAGCTTGAGCAAGACTTGGCGCCGATGGACGATGGCAATGGTGAAGAGCAAGTAGAGTCAAGATCGATGAACCAATATGATCATGTGATGATATGAAGTGGATCATATCATTGTTGATCGTGTTGGTGCATGTGTTGCATCGACATTGGAGGAGATGGAATGGAATGCGCAAGGCAAAGGTATAACCTAGGGCATTTCATTTCACCGGCCATAGGTGTGTAGAGAAGTTTATGACCGGGTTTAGGATAGATGGCCGTACTATCAAGAGGGGCAAACTTGTTTGCATATCGGTCATCTAGTGTCACTCGAGTGATCTAACTTTGCATTGTCGCTAGGATCGAGTGGCGTGGCAAGTTGAGTGGCTAACATCCTTTGGGAAATGATTGTAAAAATGCTAACACACATACACATGGTGGTGTACACTTGGTGGTGTTGGCACATTTACAAAGGAGGTGGTGTTTGCAGGGGTGAGATGGGTTTGGGTCCCTTTTGGGAAAATAGAATGCCTATTTTCTATTGCGCCGGATGCAAGTTCTTGTGGTTAGCACATTGGAGCAAGGGTGATGAAGTTAGAAGTGAAAACGAGTTAGTCGCGAAGATGCTGGCGTCGGTCAACTGACCGGACGCTGGATCTGAATGCACCGGACGCTGGCAGGCTGCGTCCGGTCAGGCTGACGTACGATGACGCAGAAGCTGGAGTGTGACCGGACGCTGGCTGCGTCCGATCAAGTGTGACCGAACGCGTCCGGTCGAGGTCGGTACCTTACTGGAAAGGACCGGACGCTGGGGGTTCAGCGTCCGATCAGTTGAAAGCTACTGCGTCCGGTCAAGTCAAGTGACCGTTGGAATCAGGACACGTGGCCGTCTGCGGGCGACCGGACGCTGAGGTCCAGCGTCCGGTCAACACGACCGGAGCGTCCGATCGGCCCGACCGTTGCCCAGTGAAGGGGTAACGGCTAGTTTAGCCCTTGGGGCTATAAATAGAAGTGGCCCTCG